CCTGTTGGCTCACCTTGTAGCTCAAGCGGCTAAGGCGTCAGCCACCAGAAGTTGTGGGTTTGAATCCAGCCTGGGCCTGCCAAACAATAATGACAACTAGAACCAAAAAATAGCCGGGCTTGTGGCAGGTGCCTGTAGTCCCATCTACTTGGGAGGCGGAGGCAAGAGAATTGCTTAAGCCCAGGAGTTGGAGGTTACTGTGAGCAGTGGTGCCATAGCACTCTAACCAGGGTGACAGCTTGAGGCTCTGTCACAAACAAATGAAAAAAGAAAACAAAAAAACCCCTTGGCCCTTCATCTTACTGCTTGCATCCTGGCCCCAAGCTCTGTGCATAAGCCTATTTTACTTTTTAAAATCCTCTCCTTTCTATCCAATATTTCATTTAATTTTATGTTAGTTTGCTCTATCAGACTCCTAGTCCTGGTGGTGCTATTTCCTCTTGCAATCTATCTTCCAGTACGGTGGTTCTCAACCTTCCTGATGCCACGGCCCTTTAATACAGTTCCTGTGGGTCGCGACCCACAGGTTGAGAACGGCTGTGTAGGTTGTAGCACCCAAGAAAGGGTAATGTGTCTGGAAGGAACTCAGACTTAGTCACCATGACCCAACAACCTCAGCACCCACGTGGGGCCCAAAAACCCTGAACTAAGAGTGTCCATAAAGTTCACCTGCAGTTTAAAATAGTGTGCAATTTTAAACTTTATGTACACTCTATTTCAGAATCATCCTGCTTGCAATCGCCTCCGGAACACAAATCCCGTTTGCAGTGTTTGAAATGTATCAAGTCACCATAACTTATCTCAGGTCAAGGCTCCAAACTGAACAACTCAGATCTCCAAGAGGAGAAAGGGAAATCTGATTTTCAGGAAAGGAATCCTACAGATGTACCATGGCGGAAAGCAGCACCAGGGGCCGGAGTCCCAACCGCCTTCTCTCCCCCGCCCCCCCCCCACGGTCTTGGCGTTCAGGTGTGCACAATCCAGGTGGGTGCCACCTCTGTGCCCTGTGGTGGCCTAGGGAACGTCACCAAATACTTCTGTCTGGACCCCAGCGACAGCCTCCCGACCGGATGGTATGGGTGTCACCACGCGCTGGCCACACTCTCTGCCGCCCAGCGCCGGCTGCCGGACCTCGGAGGGGAAGCCCTCGGGGTGAGAGTCCCGTATCCCGGAAACCCCGGGGGAAGAAGAGGGTAGGGGAGTGAATCCATTTCTCCGGAGTTGCGCAAGAGCCGAGGCGGGAAGGCCAGAGTTTGCATCCCCGCCGGCGACCCCGCCTAGCCCTTCGCGCCCACCCGCTCAGTGCCTAAACCAAAAGCGAAAGGAACTGGACCACCGCGTCCCCGCCGGCTCTGGCGTCGCGTCCGCTGGGAGGTCGCCG